AATTTAGTCACAATTCAAAAAATTTAATATCACAATTCAAAAAAATTTATAGGTCACAGTCCGTTCATCGGTCACAGATTAAAAAATTAAAAGTCACAGTTTGTTCATCGGTCACAAATCACAAAATTTATAAGTCGTCCAATTTATTTTATGGTCACATATTACTTTTATTGGTCACAAATTAATAAATTTGTAGGTCACACAATTTTTATTAGTCACAGTTTATTCTTTATTGGTCACACACCAACTAATTTATAGGTTACAATCAACAAATCATTTGTGACCACCATCAACACAACACAACACAACCGTCGTCTCCGCCTCCACCACCAACACCACAGAAATGTCGTCAATACCAACACCACAAAAACCGTCGCCGCCGCCACTACCACCAACACTGTTACCGCAACCACCGCCATCTCCATCACAGCCACCACCACAACTACCATCTCATCTATCTTCAACTCAGCCACACCTCAACCATCTCATCTATCTTCATCTCAACCACACCGCAACCACCAACCCCCTAAAAAATCCCCAAATCGTGATGCCGCACCACGACCACCACCACGAACATCACCACTATCACCCCCTAAAAAATCCCCAAGCAAAGGCACTGCGCAGGAGAAACAAAATCAGAAACAAAAGAGTTGTAATTATCTTTATAATTTTGAATATATAGAAGCCTGAGGCCGATTGACAAGAGAAACAAAATCAGAAACAGTAGCTAGAAACGAGGAGGCGGTGGTGGCGTCTTGAGCGTCGAGCCACGACATTGATGGTGGGGTCTTTTAGTGGCGGCGTCGGTGCGTAGGGCGGCGCCACTACTGTTGAGAGAGAAGGAGAAAACGGGTGAGGCAAGAGAGACAAGATAGATAGAAGGGAGAGGATAGAGGAAAAGATATGGAAAAATGAGTAGGGTTTGAAATTGTGTTGGAATGATTTAAATAAAAAATAATTTAAACATTATTAATTAAAACCTGATTTATGTATTATTAAAGTTGATTTTGTATTTTTGAAAATGGAAACTTAAAAACCCGTGAGGGTGTAATTTCCTCTTATTTTATTTCAGCCTAACTAAATTTGATGGGCCATAGCCCACTTCTTAATTGGGTTACTGCACTCCTTATTCGAATGTTGTAATTACCATGTCCACATTGCTTCTAAGATCTTCTCCCCTCTGATTTGAAGGGAAGAATACATAAATCAGCATTTTTCTTTTACACATTTCAAAACTACCAAAACATGTTCTAATTTTCAAAAATCAGGTTTCTTTATATTTTTAATTATGAAATAATAATTATTAAATTAATTTATTATTAATATTTAATTCTACTATAAAATAATTAACCTACCCCTACAACTCCGGGGGTATTTCAACGACCGTTCCGGTCACCACTCTTCTCCAGCGATCGTTCCGATGACTGATCCGATTCCGACGAATATTTTAAGGTCACGGATCTATACAATTTAGTCACAATTCAAAATTTTCGTAGGTCACAATTCGTTCATCGATCACAATTCAAAAATTTAAAAGTCACAATTTTTTCATAGGTCACAAATTTCAAAATTTGTAAGTCACAATACTT